CCTGCTGAAACTGCCCTCACCATGAGTAGAACAGGCCTGAGCCTCCCAGCACAGAGCACATGGCCAGAGGGCACCGGGGAGCCCGCGCTGCAAGGCTGCACGAGCAAACTTCTGCCCAACAGGCTGCAGAAACAGGTGCCATGCTGCAAGGAGTGGGGGGCCTATGGAGAATGCTACCCAAGTTTAGTAACTTGCAGTAATAATAATAACTTAAACTAAGAGCAAAACTAGCAAAAAAAGTAATTGGCAGTGTCACCGATTCAGATTTGATGAGAAATCTGGGCATGCAGGCTGAAACGGGGCATCGCCTGTGACAAGGAGCAGCGGAGGGAAGCATGAGGGGAGCTTGAGACAAAATGAAAGCAGGCAAGGGGACTGGAACTACATCAGAAAGGAACTGGTAACAGGGTGGGTGAGGAGAGTGCATCTTGAAGCAGGAAAACAAGAAGAGGCAGATTGTTTACGGGAATTGCTCTGATCAAAACTCTAAGCTTGAAAAGCAATAACCGGATCTGGAACGAGGGAATACCGCCAGGAAGAGACTCGGATGAGAACAGATTGAAAGGGACAGGCCAAAACCAAGAAGACAAGAGAAGGGCCTGCGCTTGCCAGAGCAAACAGCTGCGCAAGGGCCAGGGCGGTCCCAGCGCAGGGTTTCCGGGCCGTCTCGGGCCCCCTGCTCAGGGCAGCCCCGTGAAGTGAGAACCCCTCTCCTCTGGCACCACGTGGCAGGAGCACCGCTGCTGCTCCCGCTCATGCTGAACTCAGGTGCGGGGCACCCATGCAGTGCACTGATTTCAGGACATTTCAATGTTTAATTTGTCAGTATCAGCATGATCGATTCCACTTTCACTATTTGTTTTAAAAAGCACAATTAAGTTGTATTTAAAGACCAAGTAAACAACCCCCATGTGCCATTACAATAGTTACTGTTGTTGCAAGATTAGACTCTTTGAAGTTACAAAACATCAGAATGTCACAGCTTATGCAACCTTAACTTGGCTTGCACTGGAATAGGAGCCATGAAACAGCCTTGAATGACATATCACATGCCAGCTTCTTCCACCTCCTTCAACATGTAGGATCTTCGGTGCTCACTTTGAAAGCAGCAGCTCAATATCAAGTTTCCAACTTTTACTTTGATGCTTAGACTCAACTATATTGCTCAGGCCTTCTAAAATGACAGGATTACTCATTTCCTCAAACCTGCCCATTGCACTCATCACTATAGTCTCTGGAGGCTTTACAAATATTTACAAAACAATTTTAACTAGATTTAAAAAAAGCCTATAACTCCACACGTTTTAATAGCAGGAAAAAACTGCAAGTTGGAGAACTTCATACATTAATATGAAATATGAGGGATGTGATTCTGCAGGGTACGCCTTAATGCATGCCTTAAGCAGCACAGCTCCCCGGGACTTGAGTTACATCCATCCTTTTATTGCAAAATGGAGCACTATTTGCAGGTTTCCAAAAAAGAAAAACCCACAATGACCCCTTCTCAGAAGGGTGACCTGCCTCGTGCCACATAGGGACTTTGTAGCAGAGGCATGGATAGTGTCCAGTTCTCCAGAGCAATATTCAATTGTCTTAGCCTTGACTGTCTTATCCTTCTAGAGCTGCACAAATAATAGAATATTCAGTATGATGACTGAACTGAAAAGAGAGGAAAAAAAAAATCACCCTCCACACATCAGGAAAAAAATCATTTCAGGTCACACTAAAAGAAGAAAGTTCCATAGTTCTACTCCATCCCAAACTAAGTGTTTTAGATTAACCCGAAATGATTTGCTTAGCTCTTCTCTAACCCTCTCAGAATTTTGTTATATTGCTGTTTTGAAACAAAAATACTTAACATTTTCAAAAATCGCTTCTTATTTTAAAAGCTAGAAGTGTTCACCAAAACAATATGAATATAAAACAGCCCTAACTTCTTTAAATGTCTTTTTTCAGTGACTATACTACTAAACCAAAATTGCTGTCTAATGCAATCTTCTGACACACTCGCTGCAGTCTTTCCATTTTCAGAATAAATGGAGCGCCATGCTAAGAGCAGCCGCCTTCATTCAATCCCCAAAATTGTCCACTTGAGCGTGAGGTAGGCATCTCCTGGAAATGACAATTCATGATCATAAGACGGAAATGGGGGAACGTTTTGAAAGTCCTTTTCACATATAGTATCTCACTTTCTGTATATTGCCTATCAGGGAAACAAAGCAGTCTGCCCTGGTGCTCAGCGGAGATATTTGTATCTCATGGACTTGTACGGATACAGTCCCTCAGAACGGCACTGTGGGTGCTAATCTTCTGGTGAAAAGGCCCCTTTTTAAAGGCAAGCTGTTGTTCAGCTAGAAACAAGGCAATTACATCAGTGTTAATCCTGTTCCGAGGGCGCCAAGGAGGGAGAAGGGCAGCTGCCAACACGTCAGTGCTTCTCCGTGCCAGCTCCTCCGCCCTTGGCTGGACAGCAGTGAGAGGAGCCAAGGCAGAGGTGACGGCCACGGCCTTCCACAGGGAACTCGCCAGCTGGCTTCGCCTCAAAACAGAGCCCCCGCAAGGCAGCAAGCTACCTCAGGAACCCTGCATCCCGCGCCAGGTAACAGGCGCCTGGTCTAACTGGGAACAGCGACACTGCCGCGTGTCAGCGCCAGGCGCTGCCCCTCACAGGCTGTCCCTGCCGGGCTGCTTCCCGAGCGGGAGTCCCGCTCCCGGGCACAGCAACCTCCCAGCTCCGCTGCAGAAGGCGGGGAACGGCCTCCTCCAAAGCTCAGGCACGGGGCTGCTAAGGTAACTCCAGAAGGCTACAACAAAGGCCCAACTCCTAAGCAAAATCTCGTGTGTGAATTGGTGACATCAGGAAAGCAAAGCCTGCATTGAAATATAAACACCTGAAAAGACCGGATCCAGGTTGTATTCACACGGTCAGTTTTATCATTTGCTATGTTGGGAGTATTTGAATTTGCGTTCTCATGTGTTCTTTCAATACTACTTTTGTGCAAACACAGTAAAAGTAATGTCTATGCTTGCCTTGCTTTCATTACTAAATTTGTAAATTTTAAGTTATAATATGCATATTTTACATAGAAAAACATTTCCCTTTTCTCATCTGATTAACTTTTGCTAAGACAATATTGTAATACATTTTAGAACATGAAGCGCACTTTACCTGTGGGGGAAAAAATTCCAGCAAAATGAGATTTTCAGCCTTACAGACAGCAGAAGCAATGTTCTGGGCAATAATGGAGTGGGGTTTTTTAAGCCTAAAGTATCTTTGCATCTGACTACAGAGACCTGCAACTCTCTCCTGCCCTCTACCATTCCCTTTCCACTACCCCTTTTTGCCACCTTCCGCCACTTTTAACTAAATATTAAATAAACTCAATTTCTAGCTTTTCTCCCCTGTATGCACTCCTTTCAAAAAGGGAGTAACAAATCTCCGGAAAAACATACACAGAGGAAGTAATTTTCCAGCAGTATATTGTACATACCTGAGTGTAGGCCTCTTCACTTTTTACACTTTTTTAATCTTTAGTATCATTACTGTGTTGGGGGGAGGGGGAGGAGGAGTCTGTTTTTAAGAGACGGAGAAGATGGCTACTCTTAACACAGGCTGCTTCTGTCCTCCTCCAGTAACCTTGGGTTCCCTTGGTCCGTTACTGTCACCTCAAAGCACAGTTAAGTCAGTTAAAATCACCAACCCTCTTCAAATCAACAGGGCCCATTACAGACCTTTCAGAATTTAAATTTACTAGATTATTATTTTTTTTTTTAAGTCTCAAAAGATCATTTCAATAGTTGCCTGCAAGTGCTAACTATTACAGTGATCTCTTCATAACCTGTTTATTGCTTTGAACATGGCACTTTATGGGAAGCTTGCACAAGGTAATTAGCGAAGCATTAAAAACCCCATAAATGAGTTCAAACACAGAAATATAGGAACTCGCCTGCTGGATCAGTCAGTACTCTGCCAAAATCCAAACTGGAATATTCTGATGATAGTAAACAGCCATGAATAAGGCTAAATTACACTTTTGCACCCAAGATGCAGATGAGTCTATGGAATTTCATGTAAGAGATGAGCTTTCCGCACACATTTAAGCAGGTGCTCAATTGCTCCTGAAATGTTTGGGCCCAGCTAAACCCGCTCCTTGGTTCACAGTCTGCAACCCTCTTCCTTTTTGCCCTGAGATCAAGAATAGTCATCTCAGAGCAATCTGGAACAACAAAAACCACAGCCTGTATTAAAAGATGATGAACAAAAGATGAAAGCACAGATTTAAACACATTTTGGAAGAGAAGGCTCTGTCTCTAATACCAAATTCAGCAGACACTATAATAAAAACCATATACCCAATTCTATAAAAAAAGGAAATAATATTCTGCTGTGCATTTCCATTGCATATTGAACCAAAAACTAATTGCTCCATTTCTCACAATGTATCCAAAAGTCTTTTTAATAGGCTTCTATGTAGAAAGCTAGAAATGGTTATGAAAATGTTGCAAGTTTTCCCCAGATACATAAACAGATTTCCAAAAGTAATGTCTTATTTTTATCTCCAATTTTGCAATTTTTCCTACCTTTAAGATACCCCTTTTTCAGAAACACTCCAGGCTGCACACTTAGGTATATGTAACACAACTCATAAAGCCCATTTTACCTCTCACAGGCACAAAATTGCAGGAGCAAGGCCCAAGTGGAAGCATCAAATGGTAAGGGAATGTGGATGTAAGCAATAATGTGAAAACACGTGCTGGGATGGGAAGTATGAAGATGGGCAGCAGAAACCCAACGCTAGCAAGAAGGCAGCAACAACAAGGCTCTGTCGCCAGAGAACAACTGTGCCTGTTTCTTGCATGTGTGCGTGTCTGCGTGTGTTAGACAAGAAGACTTGTCATCTGTTCCCTGGGTGATCTGTGTGCCATCAAAAGAGAAGAAATTCAAAGGAACAAATGGTTTGTTCTGCAGGCGCCTCGTGCTCTTTTTTATGAGCGAGAGTTCCTACTGGAGGAAGTGACCAGATGTCTTTGTGCACATTTGTCACCACTGCTGTCTTAGCTAGCATGCAAACACCATGGTGCATTTCAGCCCCTGGCCCTGTCACATTTACACAACAGCACCCGGGAACTTTGGAGCACCGGCTGCAGGCAGGACAGCCCATGGAGCACACAGACCTGCTTCTGCATCACATGGGACAGCCTGCCCATCCTACAGAGACACTCGTTTGTTTTGGCACGCTGGGGACAATGACAGCCATGCTAAGGACATGCAAATCCTAGCTGGATGTTGCTGCTATACCATACGCTGCTACAAGCAACTTTAATGAGTTTCAAAGGAAGTTGGCAGTAACTAATTGGTTTCAGTTGGCAGCCAGTACTCAGCACTTGCAGAGTGCTCGAGTCAAGAAAACGTGCCAACAGAACAGGCACACCCACTTGTACAGCCTTTCTGCCTGCTGCATAACTGCGTGCCACACTACCTGCAAAAACCTGCTGGGATGCATGGAAAAAAATTAAAGAAAACCTTTGAGTATCACCCAAAAAACAACAAAAAACACAAAACCTGTATCAACCAAAATACAAAAAAAATATACCTTTTCCCCCTGTGTTTTACTTCTGTTGAACACTCATGTATAAAATGGCAATAAACCTAGTTAATTCTTAATCTCTCCAGGAGACAGGAGGCTACTTTCATACCTGTATGCTTTTCGAGCTCTGCAAGAGTATCCTGGTACAAGCTCATCATCTGATCACAGTGAGCAATAACATTTTTACGCATATTGTCCCAGTGAGGAGCGAGCTCTCCCAGCTCCTTAAGTTCCTGATTCCTGTATCAAAAGGCAAAAAGAGATGGCAATAATCCAAAAACTGCTTGTTAACAAGTATAAAAAGCATTTCTTTATAGAAATAAATGATTAACTTGAGTCCGCTTTCATGGCTCCTGTGCAGTTCCTTGATTTCAGCTCTGTTTTCAGCCACACAATAAAGAATAAGGCAGAACACATAGTACTTTTGCGCTCAGAACTTAACTTACTTGTACAAAACACAGTGGCCTGCAAACTTAAATACCATTTCTTCCCTGGAGGTGGGCTCCTTCCAAAGCTCCAGAGAGAAAAATTTGGTGAAGCAGTGGTTAAATGCTGTTGTAAATGATAAAAAGTTCACTTCTTTTGTGATTTTGGTGCTCTTGGCATGAATTCATGTGCACCATAAACATAATTTTAGCACCATTTCTATAAATGTCAGTCTAGCCAGGATATGAGCAACTACATTTCTTTACTGCTGAAAACAAACATTCCTTAATACCTAATCTCCCGCCTTACAGCTGTGTACATCAGGTCAAAACAGCAGTGTTATGGAAACCAAACATGACACTGAAAACCCAAAAGGAAATCCTTTAGCAAATTACCAGTTTTCCTGTACATTCTTTTGAGAGGTGACCTGAAATGGAATTGAGATCACTTTAATTTCCTACACAAACAAGCCCAGCTGCAGTGCGCCGGGTAGTCCGCTTGCTTTCCCCACTTCCGCTCATCCCACAGCTATCACTTTATCCTGGGAGGTTCCACTTTTAATGAAACTGAAAATGAAAGATCTCGAGTCTTGAACTGTTTGGAATTGGTCGGAGGCATCTTGTGCAACATGATCCCGTTCCCCCCTACTTTTCATCTAAGTATCAAGCAGAGGGTTTTGCTGCAATTCTTGGAAGTCTCAGAAAAGACTCCCAGAAGATACCCCATGAAAAAAATAAAAATTACTTAAAAAGTAAAGAAAAGAAAAAGAAAAATCCAACCAAGAACACAAGATAGGAATACAGCAAAACCTACAGAAGCAGTTCTGAGCACTAGTCACCAATTCTTATAATGATTTCTTAAGCAAAGTCACACACTGATGCTTTTCCCAACACTATTTGCTTTGTGCTAAGGAGCATTAGAGCAAGTTATACAGCACAATGCTGCTTCTGAGTAAGGCAAGAGCCAACCTCAGACACATGGCACTCGAAGCAGTATTCAAGCTTTTTGCTTTAGGCCTTAAAAAGTATCAAAGCAGAAACAAAGATACCCATGCAAGGCCTCAGTGGGGACTTCGTAACAATGTGTGACAACCTTTTTCCCTGTTTTATTTACAGGAAAGGTGGAAGCAGATAAATTCCATTCTCCTCCATCCATTCATCCAGTGAAGTTGGACAAACTCAAGACAATCCAACTCAACATCTTCCCTGCTGGTTTTAAACAGGCTGAAAATGGGTCATCCCACTGCACCAAAGTCTCAGGGTTTCCCCTAAGAGAAGCCTGAAAGATTTGACCTGGTATTTATTTGAAGTGAAGGTATTTTGGCTCTTAGCCTGTACATGGTAACCTAATATAACAGTTTGGGGATCAATGCTCAGACTTGGCTGAGCACCGTAATGTTCCCGCTCCTTGACAGCAATATATTGTTCCACAGAGAAAAAGAAATTACACAGGGAGCATTGGATACCAACACATCCCATGCAGGGAACCTTGCCTTCCTTGGGAGATCCCCTTACTTTGCCTTTACTCTAAAGGCCCAGGTGACCATTTCTACCCCCCCCAAAAAAACATTTCAGCCTGCACAGTTCTCAGCTGGGGCTTTCAATTCTGTCCCCCACGACCGCTGGTGCTGCTGGGCCCCTGCTCAAGGCGAGCAACAACAGGAGGAGAAAACCTCACCTCAAACCGAAACCCTGCTCGCAAGCCAGAACGGGTTTCATGCTCCGGCTAGGATTTAACTCAGCTGACAGACCTCAACGGGAAGGCCAACTTCAAACCACGCCGTATTCATTTTAACATGCTTTCAAAGCATGTCAAATCCTGCTCTTTTTGTGAACGAGGCTTGTATTGATTTCATCTCAGAAACACATCACTCAAGTTAAAAATGCAGCCCCGCGTACCTTATAAAAAGTCACTCCTAATCTGCAAGGTTTTATTAAAGTAATCTTGCAGTTTTACAGCAATCTGGAACATGCATAACATGGACATTTTAAATATATTTTTCTATATGTATTTTCCCTGAAAAAGCAAAGGTAAAATCAAAAGTATGAAATGCAAGTATTATATGAATTAGATATTATTTCTCCAAAAACATTTTTTTCAAATGCAATACTGCGTTGAAGGCATTCACAATTTTAATACTGTTTGTGAATTATTATTTGTCACTGCTGCTGATGGCTCATGACAATTCTTCAGAGTTAGTGCTCAAGAGACCATCATTTTTGTACCTCAGCCTCATCAACAATAGTACTGCACATTATCATCACCAGTTTGCCATCCCTCAGAGTAAACAGACTGAAGAAACATAATTTTTCTATACTAGAAGTCTACAGTCAACAGTAATATCTCAAACGACATCACATCCCATCTTAAAAACATCCTTTGTTTCAGTAATACCCTAAATGCTTTATCTTGGAGCTTACTTCATTGCACAACTTTTGCGGTAAAAGCACATGGCAAATAGTGACCACAAGCCACATGACAAAGTATTAAAATGAGGAAATTAATATTCATAATATGTATTGGTTCCCCACAAGGGCATTTTTTGGACAAGATTCGCCTTTTCAGTGTAGCCATGAAATTTTGCACAACTTGTCAACATGGCAGCTAGCTCAGGGCAAGCTCAATATTGTTAAAATAGAGCTATTTATCTTGCTCTTCCCCCACTGCAAACCCCCTCTCAAAGCCTTTTCTGGGTAATTGCACACATCAGGATAACAGATCTTCTGCTCTACATCAACTTCAGCCCTTCCTACAGCATCAAACCCAAGCTTTATCTAAATCTTGCTACTTAGCTCCACAAACCACCTTCAAGATGGTCTTTAAGAACACAATATAGAAACTCTCAACCAAGCTTCCCTTGTCTCCCACACCGACTACTACATGAGTACGTCAGTATTTTTCTCTGCAGCCTTCACATCTATATTTGCATCTAGTCAGAAAGCTCATGTAAGCAGCCTGGCTCAGTTCCCCTCCTCTGCACTGAATATAAGCCAATTAGTTACATTTAATTTTTTCTCAGGCACTTTTACTCTTCCATACCAGTTCTTTCTTTTAACTGAAGAATGATTCCAGCTTTAATTAAATGTTTCTAGTATGGTTTTCTATTACGGTTGAAAGAAGTTCCTTGTTAAAAACCACAGACATACATTTTCCCCCCATTCTTCCCCGTGTGTCTCTTGCCATTATGGTAGAAAGTCAACAGTGGACCCTGATGTGCTGAGAGCACTATACATCTGCTGATGGAAAGCAGAGTCCAAAGACTGCAGGACTGGGCACTTCTATAGGACTGCAAAAAATCAAATAGTCTGTTGTAGTGCAGTCAGACATGTAACAAAACTACAGGCATTTCTGGTTCCAAGCAAGTTTTCAGTGAATTTGGGCACTCAACGCCCAGATTAGGATTCTGCCTTTTGATTTACCAACTCATGCGTATTTTTTTTTTTTTCAGTTTGCCCATGATTATAATGAATTAGTGAGGGTACAAGAGAGGCACAGAGAATTTCCTTTATTATTCACATAGACAGTCTCTATAGAAACTGTATGTCAGGGACTCTAATGAACACAGCAGTAAAGAAAGAGAGAGTCACTTTCTCACCCTGAAGATCTAAGAATATTTTAGAAGTCTAAAGGAAACATTCAGTGTTGACAAACCCAACATAATGATTTCTGGAAAATAATACTTTTGACTAGTCAAATGCAAACTGTTCTAAATTCATAGAATCATAGAATGCTTAAGGTCAGAAGGGACCTCTAGAGGTCATCTAGTCCAACCCCCCTGCACATGGGGGCTTGATGAAGGGCCTGAAGCATCTCTCATATGAGGAGAGCCTGAGGGAGCCGGGACTCTTCAGCCTGGGGTAGAGAAGACTGAGGGACATCGCTGAAAGTACAGGTCTGTCAGAGTACAACACACTTTTATGTGTGATATTTCATGTGTAAAGGGTATAATGTTTAATATCAAATTATAATGTTTAATATCAAATTTACTTATTTGAAGATACTGCCCCTCTGGAATGCTCCGTACTTCTGTACTCTCCGGAATTAACTGAAGAAAACATCCTAAAGCCAAAATCAGGTGCTCAGTGAACTCCTGAGCAAACCACCCTCCCTCCAGCCTCCAACAGTTCAGGTGCAGAGCACAGTGAAGACCATGGTCAGTGACAAAAGGAAAACAAAGCAAAAACCAGCAGCAAGATTCTTCTGATTTTGCTCATTGTATTAACTGTTCCTTAGGAGAAGGGTTTTGTCTTTCCTACCTCAGGAAAAGGAGCAGTAGAAAGAGCAGATTGCTTTGTTAAGCACAAATCTTCACAAGTTGACAGATGTAGCTGAAAAGATCAGTTTTTAAAAAAAATAAGAAATAAGAGGAGATATGATAAAAGCACATAAAACAAAAATGCTATGTGAAAACAAAGTAGTAACTTTGATACATTCAGCTTCAAAATTCAGGGATGGGATTTCTGAGGAAGCAAATATGACTAACTCAAGACTGAGAAAGGTTTTTCCCTCTCCAACAAGCATAAGCAGCTTCTGAAATCCACTTTCAAAAAGCATCAGAAGCAAAGTGCTTAGCAGGATTCAAAACAAGATCAGACATTTCTACAGATGATACTTTCAAATGTTTTATAATATAAAAGCCACAAAGTTGTAAATATTTAACAAACAAAAGCTTTGGAGTAAATAAAAAAACATAAGCTTTGGAGTATGAGCTAATCACTCACATGTACAGGAAGCTAAGACCTATAACTCTGCTCTATATTTTTTAAAATAAGTAGCCTAAGAATTATTTTTGTCAACAAATTCTACTTTAAAGG